CTCTACAGAATCACCAAGATCTCCAACTTCTCACTCGTTTCATGCTTTAAGCGATAACCTTTACAACTTCATCGAGTTGGGTCAATCACACCTCCGGGAACGTGGTTCTGCAAATATTCTACCATCATGCTCTGAATAGCAAGTCCTCTGAGAAGATACGGAAACGGAAAAAACTTCGTGGGTCTCCGGCGACGGGTAGCGGGCAGAGGCATTTTGCACTTTGCTTTCTCCATCAAGTGGAAATCCGTGAAATCTTGTGAAGCCGCGAAATGATACCTGCCAAAGCTTGTAGACACTATATATCGACTCTTTTGAAGAGTACCTGTCCAATCTTGTAGAATTAGACGCTATACAAACACTGTTCATATAGTGGCTAGACGAGCTTGCTCCAGCTTTGCACAATTTCACAGGTTTCACTAGAGTGTGACCTGTGAACCGGTGCTAGCGAAGCAGCGAAAATGCAACCTACCCCTCCCCCCTTTGTCAAACTGGATACGTGAGAAGAAGAGAAACTCCTCGTGGCTGTGGACCGTCCTAGAAAGGAGGTGGTTGAACTCCTTTGCTAAACGCAATGTGTGCTTCCGAGTACTTCTCCTAGGAATCTCGTCAGTGCTTCGTCAAAGAACAAAGTGTTTTCCGATCACATACACAATTGATATCGTCATTCGACGGGGCGGTGTCAGAATGTGTGAGTGAACTCACATGTGCCGTTTCTTGCCTCTGGTCCTCTATCCGACCGATACTTGTTGAATACGCATCCCAGAGCAGGCCCATTCCACGCATGCTGACATCGCCCTAATGTCAGCTGCGTATCAGATTGCAACGATATAAACTGCATACTGTAGAAAACGGGTATGTGACAAGAGAATCGTGGTTCACCGCGCTGGTTGGCGTCGCGACGTCGCGCCCGCAAATGACGATGGTTCCAGGTAGTAGATGGCGACAACAGGCAATTCAGAACCGAAAATAGTCATGAATGTCTACGATGACGGGGTCTACATGAAGTCCGGTGCTCCAATCGGCAGCGTTACACACGACGCTAAAAAAGCACGCGGCCCATCGCCGCGCGGCCCGGAGCGGAAATCATGACTCTCTTGCCCGTCTCCCGTAGAAAACGCCTTGTTAGATATGTTATATACAACGTCTTGTTCGCTGACGCTGAAGAGCGCCAATGGACAGGTCTTATCGCGGTGCCACCCAACCAATCGCCTGCCAGGTTCCACAATTGGTGAAGTACGGGCTGGCGCCGCACCAAAGCGAGCCTTCTGACACGCCCCAGCGTTCGCAGCAAATGAGCGTGTAGTTACACTCCTTATCCCTGAGACGGAGTAGGCGTGGCTTTTGAGCATGGCATAGGACGGGTTACGCGTGGGATGCTTCAATTTGAAACAGCTGCCATCTTGTTCTGTGTTAGATGTAGACATGATTACGACTGTTCCAAAATGAAAATATCTCACGAAAACCTGGGCCGCCGCCATTTTAAAATCAAGTACGCAGCCACGCCTACCCGATCTCAGGGATTTCGAGTATACGATCTGCGCGTTAGCATGATCGACCTATAATACCATGAACATCGCTGTTCTTCGAGATTAAGCCGCCCGTGTAAAGCTGCTTGAATATTTATCTCTGGTTCTGAAGACAAAGCCATACCCATTTGCATTCGTACCCATACTAGTGATAATGCTATTTGTGCAGGTATTCGCTCAATCTGCAAAGACGGTGAAAGCTGATGCATCAGGCTTGCAGAAAGCGCTGAACGGAACTGAAATGACTGACAGTCGATGCACGAGCAAGGAACTGAAAGAAATCATGACTAAGGTTAGCAGATGTCTACACGGAATAGTTTACCTTTTACAACTCACAATATCCAGATCTCCTATCGTACACCGTCAATAACTAAACGCCTTATACAAAGGATAGCCGAGGAGAAATTAGGAGGTAGCCCGAACATTGAATTATATACGACCTTTCTAAAGACTCGAAAGCAACATTTCCAGGGTTCTTCGCGGTGTTTTGTTCCAAGGATGACTTCACCTACGTCTCTCGAGGCAAAGTGTACTGCCAAGCGGAGCGCGACGGGGTCATCTGCTATGCTTTCCAACACAGCTGAACTGTCAAGCCCTGTAATAAGTTCCGTGGTAATTCTACCTCAGACATGTCACCTCAGAGACCGAAAAAGTTCCAATTTCA